GTTAGATTATTTCAATTTGAGGTGATTTTGTTTCTCAGCTTTAAAAAAACTTTTGGCTGCGGTTCAAAAAATGAGGGAGACAAAGACGCTTACAGAGTGATGAAGAATGAATACAAGAAGCTGGGAACAATGTCTTTTGCTGAGGCTGCTGTGCTTGTCATCTTTGTGATCCTGGTGATCCTATGGTTCACACGAGAACCAGGGTTCATGCCAGGCTGGGCTACTGAGCTCTTTAACAAAAATGGACAGTGAGTAAACTTCACCCAAAAACTTTAAGTAATTGTTCACATTAAAAAAAAAAAGTTATGTTCTTTGCATTTTAATTTCTTTATATTTTCTATTTTTCTCCGCAAAGATACGTCACCGATGGCACTGTGGCCATTTTCATGTCAACCCTGTTCTTCGTCATTCCATCTCGGCTAGACTGTTCATGTTTAGCCAGTGCTAATGATGAACGTGATGAAGAAGCTGAAGAAGTGGAGGAAGGTGAGGTGCCTCTGCATTCAGAGTAATTGAACAGAACATTGTGCCATAAGTTTAAACCAGGTCTTAAACCAGATCTACTGGACTATCTGTTTTATAAAGGAGGAGAAAAACAGAAGAATGACAAGAAGAAGAAACTGAAAGGCACTCCTACTCTTCTAAACTGGAAGGTGGTCAATGAACGTATGCCCTGGAACATAGTGCTGCTCCTGGGCGGAGGATTTGCCTTGGCAAAAGGAAGTGAGGTAAGGTGACTTAAAGGGGTCCTATTATGCTTTTTCACTTTTTCAACTTTAGTTAGTCTGTAATGTTGCTGTTTGAGCATAAAAAAAGATCTGCAAAGTTACAAAGCTCAACGTTCACTTCAAAAGGAGATGAGGCGCCGAGTGCTGCCAATCACAGCACACACTGGCCCAGCTAACCAATCACAGCACATTTCCTATTTCAGAAGGCAGGCCTTCATTTGATACAGGAACTGTTCGAGCCGTTCATGCCAGACTGGGGAAAGAGGTGTTGTAATAATGTAAAATATGTGAAAAATAATGTGTTTTTCGAACAACCTAGTATGAGAGCCTGTTCTAGTACACCCCCAAAACAAAATCAAGACTTTGTAAAAAAGCATAATAGGACCCCTTTAAAGGTAACATATCATGAAAATCTGACTTTTTCCAAGTTTAATGAAACGATTTAACTATAATCGAGTCCCCGGTGCATCTACTAAGCCAGAAAACATGAAAAAGAACAACCCAGTAACTTACCTTCACAGACATAATCAACAGTTTTTGTAATTTGTGTGCTTTTAACATAAACTTGTGTGTATTTGACAGTTTAAGTGCAATAAGACATGAAAGAGAAGAAGAGTTTAGTAATCACATGCCATGTGACAGCCGCTTTCTGTGCGCGTGCTTCAGATGTATGTGCTCAGAAAACCCTATATCAGAAGTTTAAACTAATATGGTTAAAACGCATGATTTCAGCACGATAGACATGATAATCAAAACCAATGTTTTTTAGCAGAGTATCTGTGGTACGAGCTATAAAGGCACAGTCCTATTCTGGAAAAGGGGCGGGGAGCAGCAACTCATTTGCATTTAAAGAGACATGCACAAAAACAGAGCATTTCTGCTTCCACTCAAAATAGGCACTTTCAAAATGATATAATAAATGATCTGTGGGGTATTTTGAGCTGAAACTTCACAGACACATTCTGGGGACACCTGAGACTTATATTACATCTTGTAAAAAGGGGCATAATAGGTCTCCTTTAATTTTAAATAAGTTATATTAAAATAATCTAATGTACTTTAGATGCTAAAAAAACACTAATATAATATAATCAGTGCTGTCAAATGATTAATCGCGAATAACCACATACAAAATAAAAGTTTTTGTTTGCATAACATGTGTGTTCTGTGTATATTTATGTATATATATATATATATATATATAAATACACACACATACAGTATATATTGAAAATATTTACATGTCTATATTTATATTCATATAATTTATATTATAAATAAATATACTTAATATGTAAACATTACCCATTTTTCTGAAATATATACATGAATGTGTATTTATATATACATGATAAATACACACAGCACACATACTATGTAGACAAAAACTTTTATTTTGGATGTGATTAATCGCGATTAATCATTTGACCGCACTAAATATAATATAATAATGTCATTATGTTTTTGTCTGTTTGTTTTGTGTAGGTGTCTGGACTGTCAAAATGGCTGGGTGAAAGTCTGGCCCCACTGAAGAGCATCCCACCCTTCGCCATCTCTCTGATACTGTGTTTCCTGGTGGGAACATTCACAGAGTGCTCCAGCAACACAGCCACCACCACACTGTTCTTGCCCATTCTGGCCTCTATGGTGAGTGCACAGCATACAGAGCCTGAAGTAGCTTAACAATACCGACCACATATTCTATGTTGCCGCGCTTTTCAAAAATGTAACTTGAGTATGGAAGTGCTAATAATAGGTCACATCTATTTGCAGGCCACAACCATCGGGCTCCATCCTCTCTACGTGATGCTGCCCTGCACCATCAGCGCATCGCTGGCTTTCATGCTTCCTGTAGCCACTCCACCCAACGCCATCGCTTTCTCCTATGGAAACCTCAAAGTCGTGGATATGGTATGGCTGAACACATTTTACATGAGTCTTTGATATTCCAGTCAAAATAAATTTTTGAGACATTGTTTATGGAAAAATTAGTGGATAATTGTATTTTCTTTTGGTTTGAAGGCAAAGGCAGGTTTCATTCTCAACATAATTGGCATCCTATCCATCAACCTTGGCATCAACACATGGGGAACGGCGATGTTCAATCTAGGAACCTTTCCCTCATGGGCCAACGCCACAAATGTCACAAGCACACCATGAACATTCTTTGGTTTTGTTAGAATGCCGAAGGGAGAGAGAGGGGGAAAAAGAAGCTAATCCAAAAAATACCATCATCAAATGGACAAAAGAGTCACAGTATGCAGAGCATGTAGTGCCCGTCCCCTCATCAATGCCCTCTGGAGCAAAAGCTCAGCTTTTCTCAAACCTTTAGACAGCGTCTTTTCAAGCACTATGTAAGTGGCTGGTAAGAATTTACAGCCTCTGTATCACTTATTTACATCTTTAAAGTCATTCAAGTGTGAGGACTTTGTAAATGTGCGTTGGCTTCCATGTAGCACTTTTCCTACCCCAGTGCGGGTTAAAGGTTTTCTGGTCTTCGATTTGTGCTGGTTCACGAAAATTACATTAATTTATAGGGTCTGGACAATACCTTTTATATTTTAGATCCCTTTTCGGATCACAGTCTATTTAATACATGGCTGAATCATAAAATCTGAATCTGTTAAGTAACACAGTTGAAGATTTTTAAATACCCCTACTTTGTAGAAGTAAATACTTGTAGGTAAAAGTCACAGCATTTCTCAGAATTTGTGCCTTTTCTCAAATAAAATTAGTTTTGTGAAGTCTTGTGGGAAATTTCATTTTACAGCACTTGCAGCAACATTGTTGGGAACTGATTTCAAGTAATCATTTCATAAAATGTCATTTATATTATTGAAGAAAATTGCTATTGCAAGGTAAATATCAGGACCGTATACGTTTTTAAAATATTTTTTTAACTCTTACATTACTGATCAAAAGTTTAGGGTTTTTGAAAGAATATTACCAAGGCTGCATTTATTTTATTACAAATTGAATATTGTGAATGTTAAAATAACGGTTTTCTATTTTAGTATATTTATTATTTCTGTGACGGCAAAGCTGAATTTTCAGCAGTCGTTACTTCAGTCTTCAGTGTCACATGATCACAAGATTAATATACCAATTTGATGCATAATATATTACAAATATTGTAGTTGTGAAATAGTATTTATTTATTTCTTGTAAAATAAAAGTATTAATGTCTTCCTAAAAAAATTACTGAACCCATTTTTTAACAGTAATGTAAATAATGTAAATACATTTTTATAGTGCTAAGCACTAAATTAAAAATCTGAAATAAATGTTCCTAAGAAAATAAAGTGCGGTGTAAAAAAATATAAATAATTCAACATACATTTATTTCTCTTTTATTCCAAACTGGCATTTGAACGGTTCTCCCCCCTCAAAACCATTTACAATAAATCACAATCATAAATAAAGCACATATTACATCTGACTAGAAACATTTTTCAAGTTATTCCTCCTTTTAAGCGCTTGTAGAAGTCTTTGAAAGCCTCCTTTTTATTCAGAATCCAAAAACAGGTAAATCATTCTCCTAAATGCACTTTTTGCACTGAATACAAGGATCATAGATACAGCACATCCTTGGATAAGATGTTAAATCTAACCTCTGCTATGTGCACTAAACAGCCATGGCTTACTGGAATGTGTGAGAAAGGGAATGCTAGATGGAGAGACGAGAAGAGACGCCATTCTCGTGATCCCTTTGAACTACTGTTCTTTAGACAGCTCAGAACGGCTATTTCTTTCCTTTTGTTTTGTCTGAAGACAAAAAGAAACCACACGAACCAGACGTTTGAAATGTCAAGGCTTATAACGTGTGCTGTGTTCCCTTTTCAGTAGGCGTTTTTTACAATCTCGTTTAATCTACACAACCTCTCATTTGGAGCGTGAATTACGTATAATCAGAAACTTGACGCAGACCTTTGAATGCAAAAGTTATGCGTTTTCATGAATATCTGAACTGATTTGACTTCATTTTTTGCTTGCTTTTTGTTTTTATCCACACAAATAATCGACATCTCAAAACTGAAAGCTTGTTCACGTATCAAAATATATCTAATGCAACACAAATCTATCAATTATGTCAAGGTCTCAACATAAAATCATATCATATTCTATTTAGGATGAAAAGTCCACAGATATCAAGAAATATGATGTAGCTTATTCTGACAGGGAAAGAAATACTCATCAACATCAACAATATAGAATGGTCTTATCAGTGTTAAACACCCCCCTCTCTCACTCACACACACTCACACACTCACACACTCACACACTCACACACTCACACACTCACACACTCACACACTCACACACACACACACACTGAATAGTAAAACCTAAGTACCATTCACATTACAGTGCCTTGCCCATACAAAACATGGGACTGAAGGGAATTTACTCATCATTGGGGCATGTTACAAAATAAACACTTTAATATCTATATTTGCTGATGTGAACGATGGCAGTGTGAAATCAGAATAGGATATGTATGCATTGGACGTGACCTTACGATACGTCTCTCTAGATCTCAAACACAGGCATGGCGCATCGTCTATGACACTGATTCAAGGAGGGTGTGGCTGCTGGACAAAGACATGTGATTGGTTCTTAGGTCTGTCAGTCAAACTCTCTGCCTCAGTCCCCTCCCACCTCTGTCCTAAGGGCCTCCGCTGTACGAATAATCTGCTTTGTTGTGCATGACCAGCTTGTTGTCCACAAAGTAGAAGCTGTCAGACTGCGTCTCGTAAGGATGGAGGATCATCTCCCGTACTGAAATAAAGAGAAAACACAAAGTGATACACAAACAACAATTAAGCTTTTTAAAAGCTACAGGATTTTCCTTTCATAGATGCTGGTAGGTCAATGACATGTTTGTTTCTTTCTGGGTCTATTACTACATTCAAAAATACAATATATTAATTCAGTGCCTTCAATATATCTCTTTCTCTTAATGTATTTTTGTATATCTTAATAGACCATTATATGAGGAACTTGCTTTGAATATCTTGCATTTTTTTGTGCTATATTCATTATTGGGTTAAAAAGGGGAAAATAAATAAATAAAGGACCTTATTTAAAAAAAAAATCAATTTCCTGATAACGCAATAAAAATAAAAATGCAATAAAAATGTTAAGTATGCAATTCATAATTATCCTATTATGATTTAATTTAGTGAAGCAGTTTTGTTAAAATATTGATCTATATACTGGTATATACATTTTAAATTGTCCACCAAATTAATGTTGTGCAACCAACATGCAGGTACAGTACAAGACCAAACTATCTTTTTGTATGTTGTTTATAAAGACAGGAAGAGAATTCAAATAAACTTCTTGCATTTCCATCAGATGGGGTCAGTAAGATAAAAAATATATATAATAAATTACTACTTTACTCAAAAGTAACAGTAAAAATATTTATAATGTTACAAAAGATTTCTATTTCAAATAAATGCTGTTTTTAATTTAAATTAAATTAAACAAATTAAATTTCTGTTCAAAGAATCCTGAAAAAAAAAAACATGATTTTCAAGCAGCAAAACTTTTTCAACATTGATAAGGAATGTTACTCGAACCTCAAATATTAGAATGATTTCCGAAGGATCACGTGACGCTGAAGACTGGAGTAATAATGCTGAAAATTTAGCTTTGCATCGCAGGAATAATTTTTGACAATATTACGTTTTTGCTGCATTTTTGATCAAATAAATGCAACCTTTTTAATTAGAGGCTTCTTTCAAAAACAACCCCTTAAAGGGTTAGTTCACCCAAAAACTAAATTTCTGTCATTAATTACTCACACTCATGTTGTTCCAAACTCGTAAGACCTTCGTTCATCTTCGGAACACAATTTAAGATATTTTTGATTAATTCTGAGAGCTCTTTGACTCTCCATAGACAGCAAGGTAACTACCACGTTCAAGGTCCAGAAAAGTACAAAGATGATCGACACTTGTGGACGCGCGTTCACGACAGTATCATGACGCGAGCGTGTGGCGGCGCTGACCCAGATCCGGCGTAATGATGTCATCACACCAGATCTGGGTCAGCGCCGGCGCCGCCACACGCTCGCATCATAGTACTGTCGTGAACTTGCGACCAAAGTGACGCAGTAGAGATGAAAATGTGGAATAAAGTCGTTATTTTTGCAAAAAAGTAATCGCGTAGCTTCGTAACTTTACAGTTGAACCACTGATGTCACACGGACTACTTTGTCGAACATCTTGGTACTTTACTGGACCTTGAACGTGGTAGTTACCTTGCTGTCTATGGGAGGGTCAGAGAGCCCTCATATTTCATCAAAAATATCTTAAATTGTGTTCCGAAGATGAACGAAGGTCTTACGGGTTTCGAACAACACGAGGGTGAGTATTTAATGACAGAATATTCATTTTTGGGTGAACTATCCCTTGAACAACCGAGTTTTGAGAGGTATATCTCGTGGTCTTTACTGATTTTTATTGCCATACCAGCATCTATAGCTATTTTCAAGGCAAGATCAATGTATTTTAAAAGAAACAATAGTAACAGAGAAGTAATGAAAAACAACAATTGACAACCAACTCGCATCAATATAACAAACAAACAAACAAAAGATTTTCATTTCAATATTTGATCAAGTTTAAGATTATTCTTGGTGAAACATTTTTTAAAACACCCATTAGAGAACTTTGAGTAAAATGTTGCCAAGTGACATTTAAAGCAGTACATTCTAGCAAAATATGCAGTCCCACTTTATATTAGGTGGCCTTAGCTACTATGTATTGACATCAAAAAATAAGTACAATGTACTGCTATCGAGGTGGGATACGGGTAAGGCTAGGGACAGGCTTGGTGGTATGGGTAGGTTTAAAGGTGGGTTAAGGTGTAAGGAATGGGTCAACAGTGTAATGACAGAAATTCATTACAGATGTAATTAGATGCAGGTATTTTTAAAAATATAAGTACAATGTAAAAACATGAATGTACACAATAAGTGCATTGTATCAAATGATTCATTTAAATGCAAGGGCATAGTAGTGCAGGGTTATATCTGACAGTTTACAATCTTCATGGCACTTACTGAGATCCTCTGAGAGCGGTGGGAACTCATAGATGTGCTCACAGGTGTTCTTGCTGCTCGGGATGCAGAAGCCAAACTCAAAGTCGAAGCTCTTCAGCAGCTGTTCACGGAAATAGTGCCTCTCGATCATCCGGAAGTTATTGATGGGGATGTCTCCTACTGTGAATTCAACACTAAAAACACAGAAACAAGGCAGGGAAGATATTCAGTTGACAGTTTTCGTTCTTCAGTATTCATTTCACTCTTCACTTGGGTTTGCTGTTAACTACACCCTATTCATTTCCAACAACTGTTCAGCATTCCATTCCTCAATGTGTTGTGTGAACCGGATTCATTATTTAAAATGAGTAGCTTACTGCATTTACTTCTATATTCTGCCCTTTAGCATGATGACGAGATTCCTTTGACAGGTTTAATTTGGAGAAATGATTTATGCTCGCTTTGTTTTGATTATTATATCTGACCTCAATAAGCATGCAACTGTTGCTCTGGAATATGAGACAGCTCCACTAATGAACATCAGCTGTCTGTCCTTTCATGTGCTACTGTGCTTATTTTCTAAATATGTAATCTCTTTGCAAGAGAGGACGATATGATAAGACAGCAGGACTACAGTGATGATCTAATCATGCAAATGCTTAATAATAACCTGCATGGGCTCATTTTTAGTAACTTTACTAAACTCCAGCGTTTAAAAGATATTGAAATTCGAAGAACTGATCATTTAGTAAGCTTATGGTTTCTAGGAAAACTGTGCATTCAATCCAACATATATTACCATTCAAAAGCATGGGAGAGATAAGAGTTTTAATGTAAAGACATCTCTTCTGCTCATCACAAAGGCTGCATTTATTTGGGCAAAAATACAATAAAGAGTAATATTGTTCAATTTTAATGTTTAAAATAACTATTTTCTGTTTCAATATGGTTTATATGTTTGTGGAAACTCTCAAACATTTTTTTTATTATTATTTTTTTAGGATTCTGTAGTGTATACACTGACTAGTTTTATGAACTGTACTTACGTGGCTCCTACTTGACGTAGCCGTAAAAAAGCTGGTGTAAACTGATAACGTACAAACCGGCCAGCATTTGGATCAACATCTCTTTTATCCCCTCCTTTATCTTAAAACAAACAAACAAACAAACAAAAAACATTACAATCAGAATCAAAATAGTAAAATAATTCATCATTGCAAGTGATGACAATTGATGAGTCAAATGTGTTCCTGGGCTTCACTTAAACTTATTAAAAGGACTAAAACAACAAAGCAGAGACAACAGACATTTCCATTCTTCCTGTTCCTCATTGAAGTTATGGACAGCTGTTTTCCACAGCAAATACACACACACATTCAGTGCAGTTACTCCATGAATCACATCCCAGTTCAGTCCAGTACAATAGTTTATGTTCCCAGTGTTTCTGTTCATATTCAAGCACAGCCATGATGACAATACCTGCGCAGTTTCAGGACAGTTCCACCTAGTGGTCAGAAAATTATAACGGAGTGTTTACACCAAGTGCAAATAGCCAGCCTTTTTGGCAGAGGCCATTTACACTAACTCCGCCCACCAACGTGTGATTGGGCTACTCAACGTCACAAAAGATGGTTGTCAACATAGTTTATTACAATGTAATGCAATGTATTACAAAGTAATTTTTACAATGTTTTTGTAATGTATTAATTATCACGGGCTGTAATAAAAACAAGTAGTCCTATACTAATACTAAGAGTAAATATGGTTTGAATAACCTATATTTTAGTAGGTTATAAATATGTGGCTATGTTACAGCTCCTCTTTGAAGCTAGTGTTTTTCTCCTTTTCCATCTCTCCAATCATATTCTGCACACAGGTGATTGGAGAAGAGTTGTTTTGCTCCCATTTTTGTTGCAGTTTGCTGATTTTTGTAAAATAGCTTCTGTTTTTGCTTTTCAGATAAAAGAGTGGTTTCAGTTTGTTGCAGGCTCATTTATTGGTAATAAATAATATTGATGAGAATAAATCATCAAAAAAAATATTGGGCTTGTTTTTGAAGCAGCGGTTGCTTATTTGTCTCGCGAGAGTTGGCAGCAGTGGTTGTTAATCATCAGCTTCAATGGCGCAGATGATAAAGCACGTGTCATACTCCTTTTGACGTGCTCGAATCAACCTTTTGGCAAACTTTTTTTCTCCCTTTTCAAATTTCAAATCACATCAGAAAAGCATTTATTTTTAATAAAAATGAAGGAAATAATCAAAAAGTTGAATAAGTATCGGGTAGGGTTAGGGAGGGCATTTGTCCCAATAAGGTGGCATCCATTTAATAATTTGAATTAAAGGGGTCATATGATGCGATTTCATTTTTTCCTTTCTCTTTGGAGTGTTACAAGCTCTTGGTGCATAAAGAAGATCTGTAAATTTGCAAAGACTAAAGTCTCAAATCCAAAAAGATATTCTTTATAAAAGTTAAGAGTCAGCCACACCTACCTAAAATGGCTCGTTCTAACACACCCCCACATATCTACATCACTATGTGGGAAGATTTGCTTAACGCCGCCCAAATGTTCACGCAAAGAAAGAAGGCGTAACTTTTATTCTCGCTGTACTATTGTTGCCGCTGCCGCCATGTCCTGAAAGACGCTGTGTGCTTCGTTGTGAAAGCGAAACTACTTTGTTTGGTCTTCCAAAAGAGGACGATATCCGCTTCGTCATGCCTAGAGCTGATCTGTGCTGGTCGCTGAGGGAATACTACAACTTAGTGCTGTGGATCGCCGGCACATTTTATGGAGGACTGTTTACTGATCCTGGGAGAGTAACGTTAGACTAAAATGCCAGCAGTTTTGACTCACGTAAGTGTGATTTCTTTTATCATTTGCCACTGATGATTCAAACGCGAGTTTTGGGCAGTGTGGAGTAGCACTTGTTGTTTGTCATTTCTCTGATCACAAATGCAGACAGGGTTTTAAGTTTACGCGGCACGATGCAATGCAACGCAACGCATAAAAAGACAGTATAAGTCATTATAATCAGTAATTATGTCCCCACTGGATGCAACAAATGCCTCGTTTGTAATGGGTTTTCATGTTTTTCTCTCGTCGCTCCGGCTGGGACACGCCATCACAGTATGGTAAAGGGCGTAACATTTCTGTCACACGCTTGAGGTATTCGGCCAATCACAACGCACTGGATAGCTGGCCAATCACAGCACACCTCGCTTTTTCAGACCGATGAGTTTTGTAAAAATCGACACATTTCAGAAAGGCGGGGCATAGAGGAGAAACAATAATGTACAGCTTTGAACCGCATAAACACATTTCGTTACACCAAATAATGTTATTTTTAGCAGCATCATATAGCCCCTTTAAAATTAAAATTTACACTCAAGTTATTATTGCATACTGGTTTATAATGCATTACATTATACTGAGGTGCAGATAATTGCCACTATTTGCAATTAGTAGTATAAATAGCAGAAAATCCTGCTATTTTAACAGTGTAAATAGAATCTATAGCTATTTGCACTTAGTGTAAATAGCATATCACTAAAAAATACTGCTATTTTAACAGTGTAAATAAAATCCATCGCTATTTACACTTAGCAAATAGCCACTGCCAAATTATTATTACCTCTCTATAACTTTGGAAATCCTTGTAGGTGGTTAAAATAGTTTAATTTTATCAAAACATTGAACTGCTCTGCCTAATATTATGTTTGTGGAATCATCAGATTCTTCAGACATGCTCATTTGTCTCTTCAGACTGCAGTTGATTTGCTTGCCTGTAATTGCTGCTTGCTTGCAACTGTATTTAAAAAAAGAGCCACGAATAATGAAAGTGAATAATGAAACTGGAAACAGCCCTGGAATATTCTTTATAACATGCAAGTCAAAAGCCAAAAGGCTAGTTATTACATAAATGGTAACCAGTGTTAGGCAGTAACTAGTTACTAGTAACTTAGTTACTGTAATAATATTACTTTTTGCAGTAACTAGTAGTGTAACTAATTACTAATAAGATTTCAGTAATAATATTAGAGTTACCATCCATAAAACAGCTTAGCTACTTTTGCCTCAACCCCGCTGATTTAAAATCCAACAATAAAATAATTCCTAGATTTATTTTCAGGACTCGCACATGCATGTGAAGTCCCCAGTGCAGCAGGCAAGCTTGGAATATGGAAAAGCTTACATTCAGCAGATAGAAATAATGCATTATATTGATTTTGTCAGGGAAAAAGATGATCTGAACACTGTTGTGTAAGTTGTGGCTTTACTTTACTCTGACATTAACATCCCACCCACATCCCTCTGATCAGCATGTGGTACATTATATTACTATAATTAAAATTTTTTTTGGAAAATTAAACCGTTTCTTACAAACTTATGTGATTTGATAAAATACATATGGAAATATAATCGTATATGGGTAACGGAGAAATTACAATAGCTTCAAGCTGTAGCACATGACAATTAATGAGATTAATACAACACTTCTACTTGAATGTCACTATCAATCACTTCTGAGTGTTTGTAATAACTTCTGACTGCGATCCAATGTGGATTTTGGTCAAATGATGAGGCAGAAATATGTTGTTAGTAACATTCTAGAAGAATTTTATGTGGAAAATACACAGTTACAACTTCTGTGGGGTGTGAAGAAAAAGTAATGTAACTAGTAGTGTAACTAATTACTGTTGCCAGAAAGTAAAGTAACAATATTACTTTTTAAAGGAGTAACAAGTAATGAGTAATATATTACATTCTTTGAGTAACTAGCCCAACACTGATGGTAACCTCATGCTAACAAACACCTTTTTAGGGGCAAAAGATATCTGATATGCCAGCATATCACATATTACTGCTCTGCCTGATTATTAATTGATTTTATCTGTAACCACACACTCAAACTTTTCTTTGCCGTGTCAAATGTGAAGCCCGTAAGTTTGTTGTCTAAAAGGACTGTTAAGCAGTAGCCTATTAAATATACAGTCAAACCAAAAAAATATAGATTTTTTTTTTTACGAGTGGGTGCAGAACACTATAGTTCATTTATATAAGTGGGGATAGCAAAATAAAGTAAACTGTGACATACCAAAAAATCTTCATACAGTGGACTACCAGTAAAACCAGTAGACACTTTGACCTGACCATGTTTTGCTTACACGTTTTTTCTTTAATTGCTAATGCGACTGACCGATACCACAGACTGAACAAAACTAAGCATTGCTTGGTAACTGGTTGACCTAAATTGGTATTATCTAATTGTGTAATTAAATTTAACAGCTGACAGCTATTCAACCTAATTAATTACATATCTTTCGGTCAAAGTTATCTGACATTATCAAGATGAATTTGTTCTCTGAGTCCATCATATTTTATTACCATTTTCTAAACTATATTGAATAAACTGTGATACTGTGAGAAATATTGACGGTGTCTGAATAAATTTTGGTTTGACTGTAACTTGTTCAACATGACCCAAAGCAATAAGTAGATGTAATAAAATGTAAGTGAGTGAAGTGACGTGTGGCCAAGTATGGTGACCCATACTAGGAATTAGTGCTCTGCATTTACCCATCCAAAGTGCACACACACAGCAGTGAACACACACAAACCGTGAACACACACCCGGAGCAGTGGGCAGCCATTTATGCTGCGGCGCCCGGGGAGCAGTTGGGGTTCGGTGCCTTGCTCAAGGGCACCTCAGTCGTGGTATTGAAGGTGGGAGAGAGTGCTGTACATTCACTCCCCCCCCCTACAATCCCTGCCGGTACGAGACTCAAACCCACAACCTTTGGGTTATGAGTCCGACGCTCTAACCATTAGGCCACGACTTCCCCTTGTGTACCTTGTGTAACAAAGGTTTGGGTACACACACAAAGAGAGAGAGCGTAAATTGATTATAACCGTGTCAGTAACTGTGTATATATGGATGGAAGCTCGCGATTATGGTAAGGGGCGTTACATTTCCGACGCGTGCTTGTGGTGTTCGGCCAATCACAATGCACTGGGTCAGCTGGCCAATCAGAGCAGACTGCGCTTGTCAAAGGAGGGGGCTTTGTTGAAAACGAAGCGTTTGAGAGAGGCGGGGCAATAGAGGACCTACAATAATGTACAGTATTTGAAAACTAATGTGTTTTTTGAACATTAAAGCACGTCAACATATTCGG